CATTAGTTGACCATAAAGACTCTCCTAGGTTTTCGAATTCGACGGAGTTGTGCTTAAGTGGTGGGGGCCCCCGAAAGGGGCGCTTTTTGGTTTTCCGGTTTTACCGCGTAAAGGACTTACTCTATCGAAAAGTGGTCTTCCTGACGGTTGAAGGGCATTTATTAATCCTGCATTAAATAAGACCAAATTCATATGTTTTGAACAAACCGTTCTCGTGCAAATGTTCGGCAAAGTAGAAAATATGTGTATAATTAATGACCCTCTCCACGTCCAATGGCTCGTTACCCGCAGGCTTCTAAGTCTTGAAAAGGAGCGCCTCAACCAGTGTAACCCTATCAAGGCTTACGAGCTGGATGCGCCTATCCTTGTTTGTCCCAGCCGTTCCTTAACTGCGGTTGCTGCACCTCTTCCTGGCACTCACCTGAACGACTCTGTGTAACCTACTGTAGCTGCCCATCTTCCTTGTATCCTCCTGCACGACTACGTTACCTAGCCGTATGCCTGGTCTAAGGTTCGATACCAAAAATCAACAACAACAAGTTCATATTAAAACGCTGAAAAGTTTTTTGTTTGTTTGTTTGAACGCGCTAATCTCAAGAATTACTAGTTTGATTGAAATATTTTTTTTTGTGTTGAATAGCTCATAAATTGAGGAAGGCTATAGGATATATACAACCACTCTACGACTAATAGAGCCGAAGCAGTAAAGAAAAATGTTGCAAGCACGAAAAATAGTATTTAAACTATTTTCACGCGTACGAAGCTGATTTTATGGCGTCGAACCTTGGACCAGGCATATGGCTAAGCAATGCAATCGTACAGGAGGGTACAAGGAAGAGGGGCAGCCACATTAGGTAACACAGTCTTTCAGGAGAGTGCCAGGAAGAGGTGCAGCAACCGCAGTTAAGGAACGGCTGGGACGAACAAGGATGAGCGAATCCAACTCGTGAGCCTTGACAGGGATACGCCGGTTAAGGCGACCCTTTACAAGGCTTGGGAGCCTACGGGTGACGAGCTATTGGACGTGGAGAGGGTCAATAATTATACACATATTTTCTACTTTGCCGAACATTTGCACGAGAACGGTTTGTCCAAAACATATAAATTTGGTTTTATTTAATGCAGGATTAAATGCCCTTCAATCGTCAGGAAGACCACTTTTCGATAGGGTAAGTCCTTTACGCGGTATAACCGGAAAACTGAAAAAGTGCCCCTTTCGGGGGCCCCCACCACTTAAGCACAACTCCGTCGAAGTCGAAAACCTAGGAGAGTCTTAATGGGCAACCAATGAAGCCATTAAAGCAATAAAATCTTTTGTAGGAATTATTTCCGATTTAATTCATTTTTGTGTTTAATTCTACTGGCCTATTTTATTATTTAGTTATTTAATTTTTAGCGTTAAGAGTCGCATCTCAAACTAATTTGAAAATTATAAATAACTTGAAAAAATCGAACTGCCTAAGGCGGCCGTAACAGCGTATTACACTTGAAAATTTCGACGGGTTCATCCAGTGTCTAAGTAGCTCAGTTGGAAGAGCAGTCGCCCGGCAAGCGGAAGGTCGTGGGTTCAATTCCCGCCTTAGGCAGTTCGATTTTTTCAAGTTATTTATAATTTTCAAATTATTTTATTATTATTTAGGCAGTTAAATATCGCACAGTATTTAGTACACCATTTTCTTTATTTTCTTCCATCATACACAAGAATACGCGTGCGTGAGTCAATGTTCGCTCGTATGTGAGGCCTTGTCGAAGAGTATCCTGTAGGTGGGCCATCGTGCGTGTTTTGTTTTCGATGTAAACTCGCGGAGATGAACAGGCCTGCTATTAGGTACTTATATTTATAATTATATTTTTACACTGATATTTTTATTACTAAATAAACTTCTGTACATAGTACTTATTATTATTCTGTGCTAATAGCCAAACAGAAAATACAGCTAGATAGAGAATTTACTATAATGTTTATGTTTTTTATTTACGAGCTTTCCTTTTTTAGGGTTCCGTAGTCCTGACAAGGAACCCTTATTGTTTCGATATGTCTGTCTGACCCCCCTCTCTAAAAACTTAACTGTTGGCTTGAAAAATCTGAAAAAAATCTTATTAATATTCATTTAACTCATATATTATAAAATTTCTCAACTAATAAAAATTCCTTTGCAGAAAATATTAAAAGTGACTTTAGATGAAGCAATTGCTTGCTTCTAAAATATATTTCGTTAACGACGGATACTACGGAACCCTACACTGCGCGTGGCACGACACGCACTTGGCCAATTTTTTTCTGGTTTTGTTATTTTATTATACCACTGAATTGAATATTATAATTATTGCGAATAACAGCTACTTAGGACAGCTAAACTACAAGTGACAAAATTATCGCAGACATATGGGACCTATGGACAGTAAAAAATGTGTGTTACATTCTGAATGCTACATTTTCTATTCTGGTATTTTGGCAACTTATAGTTAATGTTATTATATACATTGAACAGTTAAAATGTATTTTTTTGAAATTGTCATACAATACAAAAAGATTTAAGCCAATAATTATTTGAAATGCTGAAAAAGTACTACAACAATAATTATTGATTGTCAATCAATCTATTATAATGAATGAAAAGTGAATGTATTTGTTTTTATTTTAAATTCATCAAAGATCAACAACAAAATCTGTTAGATTATTAATTGTTTAGATCTGTGTGGAAATAAGGCACTCAATTTTACTATCATAGGTACATTTAACAAAGTTGAAAATTATTTTATCAATATTGAAATGTATTCCATCTGGGGTGTTTGAGGTCAATAAATAATAACCCAAAGAATGGCATTATCATTTGTTTGGAAAAATCAACTGTCGCAGATGTAACTTGACTTGAACCCATCACCTTTTTTACTTTCTGGGCGATAGCTGATTGTTAAGTGATATGTACGAGGTGAGCCAGCGTTTGAGGCAGTTAATTTATTTAAGGCAAAGAAAAATAAGTATTGTAAATAGAAATCATAATTAAATTACTCACACAATAAAGCATTAAAAGATGATGATGTTATTCTATCTTATTTCAATTGGCAATTATGTGGCCATTTTTAAAATGTCAAAAATTTTCATCTAGATAAAATACAGTAGGTATTTACACTACTTAAATAGCCAAGACCCTAAGTGCAATGCATGCTCATGGTGCTAACAGCTAACTCTGATAACCCATACACAATCCCTTGAAACTATAGCAGCGCTTTCAATTCCGCATTGTTTGCCAGATTTCATAAAAAAATTGTATCATGATCTTGTAAATCTCTTCACAACAACCTTAATAATTATTTACCTACTCCAGTTTATGGTGTAGGTACGCAGAACATTATTTGAACATCAGCTACCTACATTATTTGCAAAGTAGATAGCAAGACACTGTCAATTAATTTATCAATAAATAAAACAATCTTAATTTATGACATTTTACTTTGCAAGTTTAATACAAAAACAAAATAGTTTTTATGATAACCAAGATAGTGAATAGTTATCAAAGGATAGACCATAGGACCTTAGTACTTTTACTACTTTGAGGATTTAAAAATAATAAGAAATATACGCATTTTTATCAAATAGGAAGGAAGCTCTTAGCATTTTATTGTGTGTCATTGCACTGAGCTATGAGTGGAATGGAGTTAAGTAATATTCAAACAAATACACAATATTCTAAAACTTCAAATGTGATAATACATAAAATATTCACAACAAAACGTATTCAATTATAAAACTTTGAACTTTTACTAGTCTGCAGTCTATGTATTGTAATAATCAGTTTGTTGATACCACAAAAAATAACCTCCAAACCGATGATATTGTAATCAAGGCTATTAGAGAAGAAACCTAGCGGTGCTCAATGTCCTAAACAAAAGAAACTGTACGAACACATCAACCAGGAATATTGTAGGACTCAATTTTGATTGTACAAGTTTTGATTTTACCTTTTACAATGACGTCATTACATTGACAGTCAATAAACCATGGTAAACAATAAATCACGATAGGCTCTTTTTATAACATAACACAGTTACGATATTGCTAACTTTTTATGTGTAATAGCTAAACATAAATATCATGAACTTACTCACAGTTCTATCTGGTGTGCAGTTAAAAACATCCAAGTGGTTCAGGCAGGTCTAACCGCGATCTCAATGGTTGACAGCAAAACTAAATAACATGGCGGCATCTTGTCCCAGCCGGTATAACATTGTTTATATTCCTTTTAGAACAATAACACTGCTGCATACTGATCACAACATCGAACTTTTTCTCCTCGTTAAACACTTGACAATATAAATCCAAATTCAGTAAGTTCAAATCACACATCAAAAGCAAAATGACGTAACATTCTGAACCTTCACGGTCGCACTGTAGGTACAAAAAGGTAGGCACAAGAAAATAAAATGTTGTTTATAAAAAAGCATTAAATGCTGTCCATAAGTCCGTTTGTTAATGGGTAAATTTATTTACTTAGTACACTTATTAACTTTATCAAACCACTTGGAAAAATCAACAAAACAAAATGAAACGCGCTATATTTTTCTCATGAACAAACGTGACACGCAGTCAAGCAAGCTAGCTCGATGTTCTGTTTTTTTACAGTAAATTAATGCTGCCTGGTGCAAAAACAGCTAACTGAGGCAAAAGGGCGTCATATAAAAAAATAATCACATAATAAAATAAAAAGATCAAGAAATTTATTTCGTATTTTTCGAAATGTTTTTTATAATAATTTAATTTAAAAAAAATAATGATCTTTATTCTGTGGCTGCCTCACAACCTTGATAGTCATTCAGAGTGGTTAGTGTATAACTATTGGATTGGATAAAAGCTATTAACTATTTTAAATAGAAGCGTAGTTTATTAAATTCTTATTTTTAAAACAAAATCACTTGGATTATTTAATAAAATATATTTTAACAATAAACCAGCCATCTACAGGTAGATTTCTGCATAACAATTTGAATGAAACATAAATAATAGCAAAAATAAAAAAATCGAAAATGTGCGTTTGTTATTCAACTAGCACAGTTTCTCTTGCACTAGCGTACAAAAGCCTAACCGAATCACAGTAACCGACCCCACGTCGTGAACCGCTCACAATGACGTAGGCATCACCAGCGCGAAGAATACGTTTTGCTTTACAATAATCAAGAGCAGCATGGATCCGTGATTCTACTTCCGATATCCAACTTCCTCTTGCAACTTCAAAATAATGCACTGCACGTACTCCCCGCCAAAAACGCAGTTGTCTTCCAGTATGACACGCTCTAGTCACAGCCACTATGGGACAAGGGGGCCTTGCATGGGATAGTATTTTAGCCGTACGACCTGAATTTGTTAAGCATAATATAACAGAAGCTCGAGATCGCATAGCAAGTTCTACTGCACTTACACACACGGCTTTTGTGGGTTCATCCAACGGACTTTGCATTAACTCCATATTCCCATAAATTCGTGGTTGCCATACAATTCTTTCTGCCTGTCTACATATAACAGCTGAAGCAGCCAGGCAATGTTCTGCCATACGTATTGCATCATATGAAGGAGCAAATTTTTTCAAGGGTGAGTCATAGTGTAATTCCAGGGATAGAACATCTGCACCATCTATTACCAAATTAGCTATATCAGTTACACATAATGTAGGTATTTGTTCATTGATTACTGCTTTACATATGCAAGGTTTTCCAGCTTCGTTGCATTTGGCTAATAATATTTTTTGTGCTATGAATATTTTTTCTACCGGCAGATCTGTGCTAAGAACACCACGATCTAAGTATATGCCATCTGCTTCTTTTAATATATCATCAATGTTATCCAATCCTAAAACAGTATCTATGCAAGCAAATACGAGAATATGTTTCCCCTTTTCAGATAGTATATCGCGTACTTGACGTACATCATACGAATTTTGAGAATTGGGAATTAAAACAGCATCAACATCAGATGCAACTGCCCAAGCTATTTGCTCATCCATATGTTCAAAAGGTTGTTGAGATGAATCACTACATGAAAGTGACTGAATGCTGTCACCTTGCCCGTGTGAATTATCTACTTCTCGAGGTACATGCGAGATTCGAACAGTCATTTTAGATCCAATCGTACCACCTGCAGCTACAGAACATTCCACAGAATCATCACCAACTTCAGAAACTACTAATTTAATTTTGCCAGGAGTTAGGCTATCTATGTATACTATGTCCCCAGGTTGCAATTCAGTTAAATGATCATACCCTATGTAAAGACAATCAGCAGTTCCACTTTCACGCCAGCTTGTATCGGTAGTTAGTCTAATAGTCTCATATTGTATTATTTCAACAGTTGCTCTAGGACCGGATTTTAAGTCACCTGTAACAATATCTGGGCCCCGGACATCGACAATAAGGGCTAGTGGGTAAACATATTCAAGTTCAGCACTGTAATTATAGACCGCTTGTCGTATGCTTTGAATCAATTGTGCACAAGCATCAGGTTCCATATCTCGCATATTTAGCCGAGCAACGGTCATGCCACATGCTATTAATCTTTGAATGGTGGTTGGTTCACGATTATTAATGCCAATATCACACATGAGACCTGTTTGCAGTTCTTCGCAAGGATTTTGATGAATGTTTAAATTACTGTAATGTTTTAGTAGAGTAGGTTGTGGGGCACATTTTTCTTTAAAAATAGGTGCTGCTTCTAGTGGAATATGCCATGGTAAAGCCATTTTAATAACGCAACGGTCTTACGGCTTGTAATCAAAGATTAGGGAATAAATTTACAGATAAAGATAAAAAATAGTGAGTTTAGCAAAAATGAACCTTCCAATGTCAAAACACATAAATATTTTTAGTGACAACTTGACGCATTTTGTATATCGTTTGGCGTTTGTTTTTGTAGTTTAAATCCTTTTTGGGATTCTTTTCAACTATGTAATAAGTTACTGGGGGAATCCCGGATAGATTGAATGTTCTTCAACATAAAGTTGCAGATATCCGGTATAAAACAACAGGTTAAAAATGTTTGTAATGAGCCAGTACAAAAAACAGAAATTCATTGAAGATTTATTACTGTGTTCCTTTGCCGACCCACAATACGTAAAAAAATCTTTCTGTCAACTATCATGACAGTTGACTGCTTGTTGACAGTAAGCTCGCTATTATAGTTCCAAAATACTGGACTGTCCTATCGATGACATTGACAGTGGGGCGCCACCGTCAATACCGGATCGCTGGTTCCGATTTTTGTCATGTTGGAAACCATATAGTTGAACGATGGTAGCGCCCCCCTGTCATTGAGTTTGGTGGGACAGTTCAGCGTGGGTCATCTATAATTAAAAAATAGGCCATCGGATTTTTGGCATGACATTACATATACGGAAAGTCGGTTTTTTTTGGATGCCTATTGGCTCCGTGCGCGATTACAGCGCCAACTAGCGTCCACAACTTTGTGGGCTCTGTCACATTGACATTTAGGTCGTATATTTGTGAAAAAATATCGAAATGAAAAAATAACAAATATTTTCAACTAATAAATTGTTGTGATGTATACCACGATTTGGGTGGAAAAAAGGTTTTGAAATCATTTTGGTCATTCAAATCAAATGAGGTAAGTCCAAAAAGTGTGTTTAATTTTGATTGTGTCAGGGTTTGTTTACTTCATTTATAGTTGTAGTTTTACAGTAAAACAAAAAGAAAAAGCTACTTTAACGGTTTCATTATATAACAGTAAATATATTTAAATGTTTCTGTATCGCTAGTAATAAATTAAATATCGTTTTCAGATCGAAATGAGTATCGTTTTGAAGACCGGGTTTGTGAGAGTTACAATATCAAATTCCAACCACAAACCGTATTTAAAGGAAAGTTGTTGGTATTGGCTGGACAAGTCCGAGATGTAGAAGAATTAAGAACAAAACAAGGGCAGAGTTCAATAATTCACGCTCTCATCATAAGGCAAACATCTGTGCACAACAACTACTGTGACTCATTTTTGTACTACCACGTTGTATAGTTTAGTTATTTCCAAATTGTAAACGGCTATTAAAACAGCCCTATCGAAATACAGTCCACTCTTTTATTTAAGTTCCCAGTAGGACCCTTTTCATGCGATTAATTAATGATATTAAAATGTATTATGTAGAATCGCTTTGCCATTGACAGATACATCTGATGACAGAGCTAACATTATTTCTACTTTTGACCACCATGAGCGCTGCGATAGATTATGTCCCCCCCACCTAGTACTTCGCACCCAGCGAATTGGCCAAAATCTTACATTGACATTAGAATTCAAAAAATACGTTGGCAACAAGAGCATTGAATCGAGTTGTCAAAAATATGACCGGTAAAAGCATAGAGAAAAGTAATACATAGGAAATAGAGAACCCTCTCTGTCAAATTTTTGAGCCTATTATTTGACAGCCTGGTGTTAAATTCGCTGTACTTAACCTACGTACGTAACGCTCACATACACACATAGTACACGCACACATACATACATAAAGTCCACGCACACATACACACAGTTCACGCACACATAGGCCCTCATAACCTTCAAAGAATTATTGTTTTTATGATGTACAATGTAGAATTTTTTCAAATCCATTATTTTGAAAATATTTATCTTTATGGTGTACGTATTTTCAAAACAATGTATTTGGAAAAATTCTACATTGCACATGGAAATGCAAATAAGTAAACAAAAACTTTTGAATTTAATAATTTTACTTTATTTATGAACACACATAATATTATACACCAAAAGCGTCTTTTCGCAAAGTTTTCAACACTAAACACAGAACACAGCACATTGAGAAAACTCAGATCACTTGTGAACATAACAGAAAGTTTCTTCGCGATTCACGAAGGAACGAACAAAACTCCGATGAACCAGAACAGCAGCAGGTACGAAGGAATGAACTTGAATTTGACTCGACTCTTCAATACTTTAATAGGGCCACAGAACTCATAAACGATGGCTAAGAAAACAATAATGCATTCAATTCAACCTAACAAAAACAACACCGGCCATTTTGGAGGAAAAACAAAGTTGCCATATGTTAAATAGTAATTTCTACTACTCTATTATGTAAATTATAACAAAAATGTCAATGTTCAGTTTTAAATTAAAACAAATTAATTTCATTTAAAAAAAGTTTTCACATTGTAATTAACAATATTCTCAAATATATTTTAATTAAGAAAAAAATGAAAATATGAAGGAAACAGGAGCAGCGACATCTAGAGCGTTTTAGGGTAGTTAAAAAGTATTTGAATTTATTCACCGATGTCGCTGTTTGGAAGCAAGTTTCACTTCGATGACCGTTGTATGGAAGTTTCTTCACCCTGGGTAAAAGTTTTAAGAAATGGGAAAGTATTCTTTCTTTTGGTAAATAAATAAATGTTATATATTAATTAAGAATTGCTTTATAATGGACCTGGAAAGTTCTGTCAGGGAACACAGTGCCTCCCTAACATCTGTTCGCGCTACTGACCGAAAGAAGAGTGCTGAAGCGATCAAGGATTTACTAACTAGAAATGCTTTGGCTTCCGTACTAACGAAAAATGCTCTAAAAAAGAGAGGATTTACGTGGAATGAGCTATTTGATGATATTAACGATTACATACTTAAGGTGAGTTAGTAGATAAGTTTAATTTTTGAGTGAGTTGGCTTCTACAAAAATATTATCATAAAGTAAGTTACAACAGGGGTATTATCTAGTTTGAGTTGCGTAGTGTGCAATCCTTTTACACTAATAAAATACAAGTAAACCTAAACTATCAATAGAAAACGTATTTAACTCGCGCACTTTGTCAACATTAGGTTTCCCCTATAACTGGGAAGTGTAGATTCAAATGGCCACATTTTCCACTTGCTTCTGGTAAATCAGAGGGTCTTGTTGTTGCAATGGGAACTAAATGGCCTTAGGAAGATGATGATGACTCTTCATAGCATAGTAAAAATATAAGAATAGGAAGAAAATATTTCTTTGTATCTAATTAATTAGTTTTTTTTATTTCATGATTTTTATCATGATGTTTTGTTTTCAGGAAACAGAAAAATATGAAACTTCAAAAACATTTTACAATGTCACAGCTCCCCTTGCCACCAGTTTACTTCACATGTGTGTAGCGGGGTCCAATAAAGGTATAGATTCTATAGCATATCAGACTATACATTATTGTTGCAAAACCACCCCTAATACAAGTACATAAAGAGGCCAGGTTACCTTGATGTGCATAGAAATATTCTGGTGTTCTTAGACTCAGATCAAATTCTTATCTTTGGATTATTTCATTCTTCTTGAGATTATTTAGGAAAACATATACTAACTTGTGGGAAAAAGAAAAAAAATATCTTAAGAAATGTTGAACAACTCATGTAATTCTAAAAGCAGCATCTGAAGATTTCCTTACTGAATTTTTGAAAATAAATGGTTTTATTTGCCCTTTCTTAGTGTTTTAACTAGCTTTAAAAAATCTTTCAGGTCGGGCTTATATCAAATGTGATAGAATCATTGATGCCTGCTTGAATATACTGAAGGATGGGCGGCTTACTAAAGCAATTGGTGATGCCTACTTAAATCTTCTTTACAAACATGTTCTGACCTATGACCATTATTTAGGCTATATCACCCCAACCAACTGGGAAGGTAATAATAATTCATTTATCGAGAATACATAATTTAATGATTAATTTCAAACTGTATTATGTAACTTTTTTGTTTCAGAGTTATTAAATGTCTGCATGTTAGTATGTTTGTCAAATAATTCCAAACTAGACAACTTTACAAAGTTAAGACTTCTATTATTGATAATAAAAAATGGGAAAAAGTATTGCCAATTCGTAATGTCACTCAGAGATTCCCTTTCAAAGTTAAAAAAATGCTTTCTACAAGTTCAAAATGACAAAAAAGTTCAGGAAGTAGTTGTAGAAATTGTAATATCACTTCTGGAAATGGTAAGAAAATAATGAATAGCTACTTCTCCTTGATTATTATATAATGTTAATTGTCTTTGATTGAGCTTAGTAGTACATATTCCCCCTTTCCATTTGTTTATTATTTTTACTGATATGATAATTTTTTTTCTATATGCATTTTTACAGTTATCTGCAGAATGTCGCCTTACTATGTGTGAATTCACAGAGAATATTTTAACAATGATACTGAAGTTTTATGATAATAGCTTGGAGCAGAAAAAAAAGGTAAAGTAAAAAAGAATTCATATTTAATTTTATCTGAATTTTACTGTACACATTTGAGTGTGTAGAATCTGTAGTGTGAGCAATATTTTATTACGTAAAAATCGGCTGAATGCCGACGGAATAAGGTGCATAATACGTGCCGTGTGCAGTTTTAAGTCTGCTATCAGACGTGTCCCCGGGTTGCATAATTAGGGGAACTCCCCCCAGTCACGGTTTACCGGCGCGGATAGAAACCATAGGCGCGGCAGGGTCGTCAGGTCTTGGAAGGCCGCTCTCGGTACTTCTCTGATCAGTAGAGCTGACTGAGCAGTGGTGATCAAACAAATATGCACTTTATTAGGCCTTCAGTATTTGAACTTATTTTGCCTGATGTTATTGTTTGCTCACATGCATATGATTTGTAAATCCCTATTATTTTCCAGAGTTCATTATTTAAATTATTGGAGATGACCATCAGCATCCATCATCCTGGAGGAAAACTGCCCAATGAAGATGGTAGCTTATCAAACGACAAGGACATATGGGATAAACATTTAAACAGCATTTTAGAAATTGTGTCATTAGAAATTAATTACTTACAAAAAATGCGCAAACCCGACGATTATTGTATGCCTCCGACTTTTTTCTCATTAGCAGCTGCTGTATATTTTCAGGTCTGTATCTGCTTCCAGCTACCGACTAGAATGGAAGAATTTGAACATTTAGTATGTTAATCATATGAATTTTAATTTCAGATATTTAATTCCGAATCGAATTCGGAGGTTTTACCTGAAGAAGGAACTAGTTCAAAGCGACAGAAAGTTGGCTTTAATAAATACAAAACTTTTGCTGATTTATTACATCAACTCCAGACAAGTCATTTGCCCTGGTAATTATTTATAGTATTTTTTTAGTTGAACTACATTACTACATTTGCTACGTACTTATTTTTATTGGTTGTGGAGTCTGCTTTGTTCATAACATAACTCTCAGTTGTATTATACAGGGTGTTGATTTCAATACCCGCCATATTTAGGGAGTAGATTAAGTAGCTTATTCTGATCACGAATCAGCAAAAAAACTGACTTCCAAATTTTTTATTACTATTTTTTAAATATCTACGATTTCCATAATCGACCACTACAGTGCAGAATAGTCCCCCAACGCAAACGGCGCGCGGCGCTCACCCGGTGACCCGGGCAAACGCTGCGCCCCCCGTCCCGCGCCCCACTACCCGCGCTCGCCCATGAGTCAGTCAACTATCAGCCACAATCAGCTGTGAGTTCAAAGACGACTACTGGACAGAGCTTAATCCAAATCTACCCTAAAAATGTAATGAGTAAATTAGTTACTTACACCTTATCATGTTACGAGTTTATTTGTTGTTCTAAAAACTAATTAACTAAGTACTCTTTAATTAATAAAAAAACCTTTGATCCATATTTCTTGAAAAGATCACCAACTACCTCAAGGTATTCATAAAAATCTGACTTAGCTAACAGGGGAGCACTACTTGATAGGGCTGCGTCTACTAAATCGGGATACAACATCCTCGCCCAGGCGGCTAAATTTCCTGAGTATGAACCGCCGAAGACAACGACTTTGCTATTTTTATAACGATCTTCGCGCTTTATATATTCTATGAAGTTTTTCAAATCGGCAAGAGCTTGCGTCGAACTTAAGTAAGCCAAGTTCTCTACACTCACATCTCCGTTAGGAACACTTTTATCGTAGAATCTATGTTCTGGCATCATCACGGTAGCGTTAACTTCTCTTGCAAAATTCATGATTACATAATTGTACAAAACCGAAAAAGACCCAAAAGGATGGTTGCCTAGATACAGTACAAGAGGCCCACCAGGTTTAAAATGTTCATAATTGAAATAGTGGTAATACATCTCCCATGTTCTATTTTCCGCAGGATCGAAGTGGTCCAATGGCTGCGTCATCGTAGCTTTAGCAATAACTATTACTTCACCTTTTGGCGGTGAAACATCTCGCAGATGATGATCGCCTTCGAAGTGGAAGAATCCATAACAAGTTTTAAGATTGAGGAGGGTTATAACGTAAAACCACAACCCTTTCAAAAATATCATTGTTACTGATATTGAAGAACACAACTGTATGTTGGTAACCGAACACAGGGTTTATTTATATACCAAGTCGAGGCTTTCAAGTCACGTGGAACAGCACACGTCACTAAGGGGAAAAAGGGGCACTTTTCAAAATGGCCTTTTTTTCTTTAAAACATTGGTGAATATTGACCAAGTGTACATTCAGTTGTGCTTAAGCCAATAAAGCCAGGTAGGTACTTACCGTTTTTATACCTAAGCATAAAATATGTAAGAGATCGCTTCATAGCGATAAGACCGCCTAATTGTACCTTATAGGCCAGTAGAATTAGATTTTAAATCGGAAATAATTCCTACAAAAGATTTTATTGCTTTAATGGCTTCATTAGTTGCCTATTAAGACTCTCCTAGGTTTTCGACTCCGACGGAGTTGTGCTTAAGTGGTGGGGCCCCCGAAAGGGGCACTTTTTAGGTTTTCCGGTTATACCGCCTAAAGGACTTACCCTATCGAAAAGTGGTCCTCCTGTTGGTTGAAGGGCATTTAATTCTGCATTAAATAAGACCAAATTCATATGTTTTGGACAAACCGTTCTCGTGCAAATGTTCGGAAAAGTAGAAAATATGTGTATAATTAATGACCCTCTCCACTTTGACAGCTATGTAACGTCCGTTGACTGTTCAGATGAGCGCGCGCTTCCATCGCAATTGCACGTTTTTTTTACACACACACACACACATAGGAAACAGCAAACTAATTTAAAACGAACTTTAACTTTAGTTAGTCAAACAAAAATACCTATTTACACTACCTATTTTACGTGGCTTCCTTCAGTAGACTATCAGACATGATAAGCGAGCGATCCGCGTAGCTCGATGGGTGCCGCAGTTGAAACGTATTGCAGTATTACGAGCCACAGTACAGTTGATGTCGCACGGAAAATATTCGCTAAAAATTCTACTTTAGTTTGTAATTTTTTTTTTGGTGGATAATGCGTTTATATAAGTCATAATAGATCACCTAAATAAATATGGCGAGGATTGAAATCAACACCCTGTATATTTTTCAGGTTGGGTATAGTACGCATGTACACGAAGTACTATATGAAAACAGTAAATACAGCTGACTCATTGATTTTGCTTAAATGCATTGAAATCTTGTTATCAAGTAATCATCAAAATTTAGATTGGGACGGTATCAACGACATCATAGATGTGACATTGTCGAACTGCAAGTGTTTGACAACAAGTGAATCGGAAGAATTTGAAGATATATTCCTGTCGATATGGAATTCCTGCGTCCGGTAAGTGACCATAGAATTAGATGTCCTGCCTAAATTACCAGTAGGTAATCCATTTCCTACGTAAATACTTCGCAGTACGTAAGTAAGTACCTGAATGCAGGCGGCGCATTACCGGTCGTTGCGGAGATCCTTGGGGGAGACCTTTGTCCAGCAGTTCGTTTCGTGCCTACTACTACAAGTTTATAATAAGTATGCTGTATTTACTAATGAAAGTATACATTGTCCATTGCAGAAACTCGACATCAGCAAGTAAAACACACAAACATCTACACACAGCAATACATTTGTTATTAATGAACAAAACATTGAAGTATGAATATGTACAGCCCCTCAAGAAGCTGTATTTGGAAAAAAGCATGCCTGTAAATAACAACAGCGTTCGAACTTTGAACATTTTGTTGCACCGATTTTTCAATAAATGCAGTCAGTTGAAAGAAAGACTAGCGCTTTTCGACTGGTTTATACGAGGAAATGCTTCGTCAGCCGATAATTTAACTTCAGAAGAATTTTTCCAAAGACTTATTACTAATGAAAATATCAAATACGAGTATCCTAAAGAAGTACAAAGTTGCGACAGTTTATTTGAGTTACTCTTCAAGAACGTCGACCAATCTATTTTGTTCAGCGAATTTGAATTTGAGTTACTAAGCGATACCTCAGCAGACAATATGAAAAATACGGTGAAACCTGAAAACCACGAGATAAACTCGGATACGAATACTGTCATACAGGATCATCTAGAAAATAAAATATATGAGGAAACAGAACAATTCAATAGCACGAGCATAGATCAAGACCAGTATTTGCAAGGCATAAATACTGTCCTAGCCTATCTGAATGTCTTGTTCAAATCAAAGTTTTTGACAAAAAATCAAATAACAGAATTGAGGCTTTATCACCTCACAGAAACGTCTTTACGTATTCTGCTAACATCGCTTACGGATAGTCTGAAAAGTAATCAATCGATTCCAGATAAAATCAAAGTGTTGCAGCATATAAAACAGTTATTTTTGTATGATTATGATCCAGTGATATGTGATGCGATTCGTAACTTGATTAATGAAGATTTTTTTCATTGTATAAACAATCTCATGAACAAGGTCGATGTGTCGGAAGAGGATGATATTGTATACGAGGGAGATGAATCGGAAATGAATGCCACAACGCTGAAATATAATTGTATCTACACCCTGGCGGCGTACTGCCGCGTGCGGGCCAATTTTAGAGATGAGCTCTTAGACCTTATATTAGACAGAAAGTTGTACAATTTTACTTCTATCTGGGATGTCAATTGTGCTTTCAAAGCGATTGATATCATAAATTACTCCGATATGATTGACCCACCACTAGGTACGTATAAAACATTATACCGATAAGCATGTAGTGGTTACAATCTCACGTTACTGACAATATTTTGTAATTTCAGAACCGGTCTTTGTTTTCATGCAGTACTTGTGTAAGGACTTATTCAGAAATCCAGAAGCTACTCTCGGGTTGCTCAAGATGTTTTTAAAAATGTTGAAACGGCTATGGTCACATGACAGAGATATGAAGGAGAATTGCTACATTCTGGTCAGGGGATACCTGGAGCGATGTGAGAGAATGTTTTATCCGCCGAATGTCGCGGCTTTTATTTATAAATGTGCTGCAGAAATTATATCACTGAACGCGAGCGAAATGTGTGATATTGATGAACATTTTGTGAAAGCACTGATAAAGAAAAGCAAAGGGAACATTCATGGACTACGACTGTATTGCTGTTATTTGCTGAAAACGCTCAGTAATCATTCAGTAATTGATGCAGAGAACTATTTATCTGGATTGTCTGACATTTTTGTCATAAATGTATGTATTTAGCAATGTATTTGGCAATCATCCAGTTGTGAATTAATTATTGGTCTTAATTTATGAATACATTTTTAGGTATCAGAAAGGAAGCAGTCCATCCTCAAAGATGAGTCTATCAATCGAACTTCTACAGTGCTCCACAGTTATTCAGCACTGGCGCTTGCGCGGAAATCGATGTTACAAACCGTTGCGATGACAGCTCTGCAAGCTTCGAAAGATAAATCCTTAGATACGCAAATGGTTAAAAAAGTTTTGAATACCATTGCTACTGCTGTAGCCAATAAAACTATAGACGTGTACTTAAATACGCACATTTTGTCTGTGCTTAATTTCTGGTTTATTAAAAAGTATGATGTAGAAGAGTTGCCTTTGCAATTGTTCGGCGTCGACAGTCAAGCAGCGTTACTGGAAAAACACATGAACTGGCTCGTAGCTACAGACATATTGTGGCGTCACGAAGGGAATATCAAGGCGAGCAACATTTTGAAACAGGCAAAGGAAAAACTAAAGATGTCAGAGAGTCAGATTATTGAGGTAAGTAATTTAGAATTGTACATTTAAGGTAAATTCACATTGCTACGTGATGTGCGCGGGGCGTATGACATCAATTTGTTGTAATTATGTGAATATACCTTACGACACATTACTGGCAACCGCCAGTAGTCAATAGGCCTAACTTTAATTACAGGTATGTTTCTGCAACATAACAGTGCTATGTCTGCCGTACATCGTCGCAGAGAAATACAAGCTGCGTTATACCAACGCAGAGAGCCCCGGCCAGTTCAAGCAGTCCACGACTAACGCCACCAGACTGTTTCAAATGACCAGGCAGATATTAGAAAACGAGAAGTGGAGTAATTTATTTGTGGAGAACATCGGCGAGCTCTTATTGCTCACCGCCACGCATTTGAACGACCATGCAGATGCGAGTGAACGCTTCGGGGTGAAAGTGCCCAAACAAAGTGACACGTTTTTGTACCCGAAGGAGGTGTTTTCGGCGATACTACAGTACTTTGGAGTAAGATATTTGCAATACTTTTCGTTGACCTATTGAATAAATAGACGATAATGTAGGTGCGCCTTTATCATTGCTCTAACAAAGTAATGATTTTATTACAGGAACTAACTGATGGTGACATCATGCAATATCTGTGCGAAGACCAACCGGTAGCAATATTCAAGATTTTACTCAGGCTCTGGGATAATGTTCTACAGGAAGAAGTATTGGAAATCAAGGCTTTATCCTTGCACGCGTTTGTAGTATTTACTGAAAACATACCTTTAGTATCACAATCTGAGGCTTTTATCTGTAACTACGTTTGTAATTGTTTTGCTTATGCAATCAAAAAGTCAAAAAGTAAAGACGAAATCCGAGTTCTCACCTTGGGATTGAAGATGATACTAGAAAGATTATTGCCAGCTAAAATTGATTTGCTTCGAAAAGCGTTGGCGTGTGTGATGTCAATATTGATTATCAAGAAAGAGGAAGGCTATGAAAATGAATGCGCCTCACTGCTGGACTATTTGGTGGTAGACATGAGGGATTATATGAAGGAGGGTGAGGATGTGGTCGACTATTTCAAATCTATGTCGCAGCGCATAGACCAGAATGAAAATTGCTTCTCAGTAACCGAGTTTTCTGAGAGACTGAAAACTTTCAAATCTGCTCTGATGTGTCCCAGGTAAGTCACACAAAAGTTACAAAAGACTGACAAAAGTTACCAGATGGCACAGAAAACAAAGTCGTCCAATGTCCAAGCCATGGCCAAGGTTTTTGGAATAAATCTTTTTATCATTATGTTTTAGTTACGAAACGTTGTGTAACCTGCAGCGGTTTCTGAAAACTAACAAGCACTATGTGAACAACCTATACAAAAACTTTAATACGAAAGGTTTCTCTGAAGATTGCGGAACAAGTATGATTCATCAAATAATATACCATTTGAACAACATTCTGAAATCGGTTGCTGATAGTAAGGTGAGCAAAATATTGTGATGTATGTACGGACGAAGGCACATCAAGCTAAAACCTGACATCATGTAGTTATAATAAGAGCGAATTTGTAAGTGTAATTGATGAATTCTGATGTTTTGCTGCTCTTTTCAGACCATAATTGAAGCATGCAATTGTCTTGCCGTAATCGGGACCTATGATTTGAAGACATTAGTCACCGTGCCCCCTCCCAACACTAAGAAGATCGTACAGGCAGAGCCGAAACAGCACTTTGCTCAAGCTGTGGTGGCGGCACTAGCTGAATTCTTATTTGATGAGAACCCAGCAGTCACTAATAAGATTACAAAGACTTTACACTGTTTGTTTAAGTTTAGAGAAGGCGTACATTCCATCGGTAAACGTTTGCGATTTTTTTAAATTATTGTTCATTCACATGAATTTATTTGAAATAATAAATTGTGTGCTTTTTATTTGTAGAATCGGACGAAGTCGACCAGACCATAATCAAGCCGTTCACTTCCGATCAAGATGTCACGACCGCAGTTTTCAAAATTGACGAAACCAAATTCCAAATTGTTGGAGGCAAAGATTTTATGGTGCCGAGTGGATCAGAAATCCATGGTCAATGGTTAACAAAGCTGACAATATACATTTTAAACATATTTGCTTCAGATTCTAACTTTGTTAATCCGCTAAAAGAAGTTTGCTTGCTGAAGGTAAGAGAAAGAAATACATTCTTAACTGCATACATACATTTTACTAACCATGATTATTTTACTAAGTTTTTTTTTCTGTTTGCCACAGCCTGAAGTGTGTCAGAAAATTTTGCCATCATTATTTGGTCTCCTGCTTAGCTGCTCAGCAGAAAAGCACATCCAAATCGTTGGAGAACAGATCAACAGATTCTTCAACCATATTTGGGATATAAGTTTCGACGAGCGACTGGAAAACAGCGGCGACAGCAGCAGTTCGTCGAGACACTCGGACTTGAATCAAGATCATAAACTGATTATACAATACATGCTGGATGTGGTCAACATGGTTCGTCTGCAGAAAAGTAAATACAGATCCCGGTAAGAATGTACTATCCAGATCTTGAAACATTTTTTTTTTCTGGGGACATGTCAACACCTGATAACTTTTTTCCTGGAAACTCACTTGCTTTTCTCGATATTTTTACTTATTAAGACGCAAATACAGTACTCGTCTACCTATCCATATTATTAAACCGGGTTTCGATAAGAATACTAATGATAGAATGACAAATACAATTCCTCATAATATGTTTCGATGCAAAAAACATAACTAGATAACATGACTAGATAAATATCCGGGATATTTATCTAGTCAAGCTTCTGTATGTACTCACCAACGGGACAAACCTGGATCTGATTCTCACTTTTCATTATGACCTATTTATTCCACAGCCCCAGTCGCTTGGAGGCACTGAACTACTTGAAGCTGGACTACGACAAAGTGGCGTGGGCAGCCACCATGGCCGACCAGAACCTCGCGGCCATATACTACGGCGAGCTGTGGGCCGCGGCCGGCGCTGACTTGCCGCCTTCCTCTCCCGAGGCCACAAGTGCGCTTCAAGGCGGGAAGGACTTGCAACGGATATTTAGGAAGGTGGGTCTATACTCAATAAGTGACATGGCAGCCATGATCGTATAGTAAGTGTATAGATCGTTTCCTCCACGAAGTCGCGCCCCACCAATTTTTAGTCGATGGAAGCGCGGTGAGTTTAATCCGAGCAAACCGAGCGTCATTATTGTAGTGTGTGTGTGCACTCATGGATAATTTAGCATGTACCGATAGTCTGATAACAGTCAAACATTAGCGGAAGAATGGTGGGGCGTGGGTCTTCCTGGATGAAACGATCTAGGTATAGTCTGGTGAGCTATGAGCCCATGAACGCGCTTACAGGGAAAGGATTTGGTCAGATATTCAGGTTTAAAAATAACGATTGGATGAAGATGACTGACTATGATGATGATGATGATGTAAATTGACATTGAAGATGGCTATCACCCACATCTTAATCTCAATGTTTCTGTATTATGCGTAGTGCGGACGCAGCAGAAGTTATTTTGCATCAGTCTGAGAACTGAAGATACAATGATGATCGAAGAGTCCTCAAATTGTTATATATTTTTAGAGTTTCGTATCACTCGGGGAGCTGGACGCAATAGACGGGTGCGGGACCGCCCATCTGACCATAGAGGACGAGAAGAGAAAGCACCTAATAAACACGGGGCAGTATTTGGACGCGCTGCTTCTGCACGACATCGCGCTATCGGCCGCGCAAGGGGATGCAGCGTTACAGTATGGAGCTGTACGCTCGCTACACAAGTCTGGGATGCACCACTTAGCGCTGCGCTACAGCCAAGCGCTGCCCGAGACGGACCAGCTCAATGACGTCAAATACGAGTGCCTGTCGTTCCTTGGTAAGTGGTAATAATAGTGTTGTTGATTGTATGTATAAGTTGTGTTTGTTACTACGGCAATAGCTCTTTCTTCATTATCGTACAATTATTTAGGTTACTATGTCACGTCATATATTGGTGAGTGTTGCGCACGCGCCGGTCTGTGTCTGGTATACATTTATTACACTTACGCAGAATGCCCTGCGCACGATTCGTGGAAATATTTGTTTTTGTAACACAAATAAAAAAACATTGTTTTAGGTGATTGGAGTGAATTCGTAGACACTCGAGAATTAGAAGAAAAATCAAGAGAACCGAATTGCAACACCCAATCCATCCTTAAAGCTTTTCGTTATGCGTGTCTCAAAGATTGCCTGAATATTCAGATGAAGCCGGGATGCGAAAATAAATTAGAACAGCCGCTCAACCGAGCCAAACTTGCAATATCGCGATTGTGCCAAAAACTCAACATGGAGAACTGTCAAAACTTCTACAAAGTGTTATCCAAGTTGCATTTATTCAACGACATCGAAGACTACTTCGATGTTCGATGCAATAAATTGCCTGTGTACGACCTTATACACAAGTGGCGGGTAGACAATCTACCGGTGTTCCATGACTTCAAATATCTTGAAGACCTGATATCACAGAGGAACTTGATATTGGAACATTCGGCAAAGACTTTTGACGATTCTTTGAAAGAAATTGTGTCATTGCAAATGCAATACGCTGGTATGTCTTTTTTACCATGTATATGTTACGGCTAAAGATAGGTGTGAACATAAACTTAAGATTAGCCGGCTAAACTTAAGTTTATCTTCGACGAGGTGTTAACCTTCAACTGGTGACGTGAATATGGGTCACAGTATTGGTGAGGTGACGTCATTTTGACGTAATACTAAAAAGCCGAAATTCAGGAGACCTACAGCATAAGCAATGTAATAAATTACATTATTTATAAGAATATGAGTTTGTTTTCGTAAATAAAACACACTGGTCGCAATAAATATTAAAAAATTTAATTAAATAACGCTTAGAAACATGGCAGTCATTTTTGGTCTGTTTTTGTAGACATGAGATCAATCATAATAGAATTTAAAAAAAAAACAAAGGAATTTAACAAAAATTACTTTTTTCTTAAAAAACAATAAGTAAAAAATAAGAATCAATCATTATTAGTATTTTTTCCCATAGAAAAAATAAATAAGATTAATTATGGTAACAAACAACACAATTTTTTTCTAGCAATCAAAACATGCGTGTTTCTTGCACTTTTTGCAGAGCTATGATGTTCTTTTCATCTTCTTAGCTGGACATATAGTGCTGGATCTTGATTTTCTGTGTCGCATAGTTCACTCGCAGTATTGTGATCCGATTCTAAGCAGTGAGTGTCGTGTAAAAATCGATCTTCCGTATCGCTGATGTCACTCACATTTTCTTCTAATAACCCCGATACAACACGTTTGAAATCCTCGTCATTTGGATTCATTTTCAACCACAAAATGAAACAAATCATGAAATAAATCACTGACACTAATGGTGACGTGACGTCAAATTGACGTTTGGTACCCTCTATCTCACTAATTAAGCGCGTGCAACATCCGATTTCAGTCACGGCAGACGCCAAACTAAGAAATAATCAGCTACTGAGGGGTGCGGGGGCGGGGAACAAGCCGTTTGAATAATATGTAACATTTTCTCCTGTGCGACGTCAATTTGACGTCACGTCACCAATTGAAGGTTAATCTTAGTTTCTTCTATCTTTAGCCGGCTAAACTTAAGTGTAACCGCAGGCCCTTGGCTAAAAATGTAGAAGGAAATGGAAAAGGAAACAATGTAATAATGTTTACTATTTTGACACGAAAACTTTATTAACACGTTCCGACGCTGTACTCCAGTCCACTATGACACTAACAATCTTCACAAATGTTTCATACACCTATTCGCTGGGTGCGAAGTACTAGGTGGGGGGGACATAATCTATCGCAGCGCTCATGGTGGTCAAAAGTAGAAATAATGTTAGCTCTGTCATCAGATGTATCTGTCAATGGCAAAGCGATTCTACATAATAAATTTTAATATCATTAATTAATCGCATGAAAAGGGTCCTACTGGGAACTTAAATAAAAGAGTGGACTGTATTTCGATAGGGCTGTTTTAATAGCCGTTTACAATTTGGACATAACTAAACTACACAACGTGGTAGTACAAAAATGAGTCACAGTAGTTGTTGTGCACAGATGTTTGCCTTATGATGAGAGCGTGAATTATTGAACTCTGCCCTTGTTTTGTTCTTAATTCTTCTACATCTCGGACTTGTCCAGCCAATACCAACAACTTTCCTTTAAATACGGTTTGTGGTTGGAATTTGATATTGTAACTCTCACAAACCCGGTCTTCAAAACGATAGGTATTTAAAATTACAAAATAAAACTGCGCGCGCGTTGTCTCCCCACCGCCCCCTCAAGCCCTCCGCCGGCCTGGCGCGCCCATCGAATACATTTTTAGCCGTTTCGTTTTGGCTAATGTGCACATTAGCCGGCTAAAGATGGAATATCACGACGCAAACTAACATGCTATCGAACTTTAGCTGCTTCTCGAAGATAAACTTAAGTTTAGCCGGCTAATCTTAAGTTTATGTTCACAACTATCTTTAGCCGTAACATATACAAAACATGATTTAATTAAATCCATACATTTGAGAATATGATACCAAACGACTCATTGTAACCATTTACTCCTATTCCAGAATTGAGTTTAAGTAACCGAAGAATTCAAATGGCACAACGCCTTCTAGCAGTTGTCAAGAACTTGCAAAAGTCTGACGAAGTTGTATTGTTGGAGAGCCAGATCTCATGGGCGAAAGGTCATCAAGACATTGCCCTTTCGCTACTACGCAACATAGTCTCCAAACCAATCGATTTCCAGTCTCCAGATTTAAGGCAAACGGCTATATCATTGAGGTATGAAAAATTGTTCACCTTTTATCTTTTTTTATTCCTTTAATCTTGCATTTTGTGCAGATAAGAATGTATCCATAAAAACATTTACTTTATTGGGTTAAATTCTATTGTATTTCAGACAATACGGCTTGTGGATGGCAGAGTCCAAATCTGATAATCCCCGTGATATAATAAACAAATATTTAAAGAAAAGTTTAGACGTGCTAAAGAAAAGCGATGATGAAAAAACTAAATTTAAAATCTATTACGACATCGCTAAGTTTGCCGATGCGGAATATAAGCAGGTATAACTTTTTAAAATAATTAAGCAATTAAAATTTTCAAGACAAATGGGAGATTATTGATGTAATATTATTATTTGCTATCGATTTCAGGTTCTTGCATACATGAATTCGCCGATATTTGAAAATAAAGTCAAAGTTTATGAGAATATGAAAGATACTGCGACGACTTTAAAATCGACGCAACAGGCTGATCTGACCAGGTAGGTTATCACTTCTACTAATACCAGTGTTTCATTGTCAAAAATAAGACGCTTATACCTCTTAATTTTTCAGAGACGAAAGAAAAGCCTTGCTAACAAACGATAGGTTCCAACAGTTAGAAGAAGCGGAAATTCTGACAACAAGAAGTGAGAAGGAAAGTTTCTTACAGTTAGCCATGAGGTAAACTTACATTTCCTATAATATTGTTCTTTATACTAGCCGATGTTTGGGCTCAAATCAAATTTATTTTAATATGTATTCCAGATATTATTTATTGTCTTTGAAAGAATGCGAAGAGAATAACTTGTCTGTGTTCCGAGTGATATCTCTCTGGTTAGACAATCCTCAGCTGGTTCTGGACTCGGAAGGCGGGTCGTTTGAGGAGTTGCTCCACGCGGTACCCTCGCGGAAGTTCATAGCCGTGCTGCCGCAACTGGCCCCGAGGCTTACTGAAGAGAAAACAACCTTCGCTAGCAACCTGAGAAAGATTATAGGTAAGCGGTTTCCTCGACTTTATTAATAGGGACAGTTTATTGAAATGTTGCTAATATACTTTATGTTTCAGCTAATAGAATGGAGTGTCCATGTACATATTATCGCCATAGAGCATTACACTTATAGCCCTAAAGTGTTTTAAACATAAATAAAAGACTTGATTGACCATTATTATAGCAAACTAGCGGCCGCCCGCGACTTCGTACGCGTGGATCCTGTTTTACCCCCTTTTCCCGAATTTTCTTTGCTATAAACCTCACGGAGCCCGAGACCTTTCCAACGAATGCAAAACCGTGGAAATCGGTTCGTGCGTTCTGGAGTTATAGCGTCAGGGAGGAAAACCCGACTTATTTTTATATAGTAGAAGATTAATAAGTACCAACATTATTTCAAACACAGGTAGATGTGCCAAAGAGCATCCCCACCACACTCTCCCCATCCTGTTCAGTCTGAAGAACTCGGACAAGGACAAGATGATCATCGGCGGCGGGGAGTCGGCGCGCGCGCAGGAACCGCGCGTGGCCGCCGCGGCCTCGCTACTGCGCCGCCTGGCGGCCGCCGACGCGCAACTCGGCGTCATCGTAGCGCAAATGGAGAAGCTTTGCGATGGTATGATATCTCTGTCATTCATTACTGATATAGCATACTTTTTAAATAAGCCGCGTGCCTTTTTGAATTTCCCTTCCCTTACATTTTAAGTGTAAAAATGTTACATGGCAATTCAAGGGTTTCAATATTAAATGTTACAGTGTATTCAAGACATCAATAAAAATATTCTTATTCTTATTCTGTTCTTATTCTTAATTTTTGACCATCTTTTTATATTTTGGTAGAAACAAGAATACTTAATTTTTAGCTTTGTGAGATAGTAATATGCACATGTTTGAGACTCATAAAAATGACTACATGTTAAACGCAGTTTGAACCGACCAACCAACACTTGCAGTACATTTTTGTTAAAAAGTCGCGCCTTTGCTAACAATATTTTAATTATCACCTTGCAGCCACTATTAGCTTCGCGAACTACAAGCCCAAGCTTAAAGAGCAAAGGCAGAAAATTCCGCCGGGGGAAAAATTGCAAAACTTATTCCACTTGGACGCGATCCCGATCCCCACCGTGACTGTGCCGATTAGAAGCGATTGCAACTACAATGACCTATGCAGTAAGTGAATTACATCTTACTTACTTACAACCCGATCCAGCTAACTGCGCACCTCGCTGCAATGAAAGAAAGAAAGAAACATTTATTGCCATGGACATCACAGAAGACAAAAGATGTAAATAATAGAAAAAAAGTAAATAAGACATAGGTGACATAAAATAAAACATACAATGAAAGTGAAAGTAAAACTGAGCAGTGCCACCCTGTCGCACAGCGATGTCCATCGCAATGGGACCCCACTCAGCATATGCCATGGCCCCCGGTGAGGGAGGCCACGACGCTGGTTTTCAGTGTGCCCCATGCCGAGTGGGAGTCACGGACACTAACCTATACTGCATAAAATATACATACATAAATAATAATAATAGTGCGCGTATAAATTTTAAGTGTAAGTACAGTATAATATTATTATAAAGAAAAGATGTAATAAGATATTATAAATAAAACGATAATATTTGAAAAACAAAACTGTGTGGGTGTACATAATAAATAAATTGTAATGTAATAAAGTGTTTGTGTATACAGTGATTGTGTGTGTCTCGACGACCACAAAACCGTCACGTGCGATCGAACCATTTTGCGTGGTTGTGTCTATTCATAGCATCAGGTGTCAGATTGGCCCATAATCCTGAGCGCGTTAGTAGCATCGCCTACCCACAATACAGAAAAAAACAAACAAAATAAAGTACATCATTAGTGTCAGATCAAGTAAATTAAATAAAATTCATTTACGCATATTTAAAAATAATTATGTCAGATAGATGTTAATGCGACTCTTCCTCCTACTTACCCGCTCACCTCCTCGCGTTCGCCCCGTCCGGCGCGTCCGTACCAGAGAGTCGAGGTGACGTCACGGCTGCTAAATGCGCAGTTAACTCCACCGAGTTGTACAGCTATTTATATTTTTCATCTATTAAACAATTCAGTTATACAGTTTAATAGATAGGTCTGAATCTATTCTAAAAATCCACTCATATTTACATAAGATAATAATGTGATTTTAATTGCAGCGGTGGTAGCGTTCGATAACTATTTCGAACTGGTAGGAGGTATCAACTGCCCGAAAAAGCTAAATTGTAAAGGCTCCGATGGCTCCAAGAAAATTTTATTGATAAAGGTATGTATTTGATTTATATCCATAGCGTTAACTTCATTCATCAATGAGGGCTATCGTTTTTATACTTAACAGTTGGCACCCCTGGCGATTGACAGGACCTTACTCTACAGTGGCGCCATCTTGATGAATGCAAATGCGATAGTCCTCCTACCACTTTAGCGCTCACAAGTTGGCGCCACTGTCTTCGCTACTAGCAAGTGACAGGACCTTACTCTACAGTGGCGCTAACTGGTGAGCGCTAAAACGATAGCCCTCATTGGAAACATATCGAATTTATTGAGCTTATAAATAATTCATATTTACAGGGCGAAGACGATTTAAGGCAAGATGCTGTGATGCAGCAAGTCTTCAATATCGTGAACACTTTACTGGAGAAGAATTCCATAACTAGTCGGAACAAGTTGAACATTCGTACTTACAAGGTAAAAGATTCAAATGATAATGTGTTATGTTAGATTTTAAGCTGATAGAGTGTATAATTTTACGGTGACGTATACCAACCAATTTATTTTCATTGGGTGCGTTTGGCAGAAAAAAGCGCTTGTAAGCAAAATGGTGATCGCTGAGCGGTAAGCGCTATGCTATCATTGCTAAAAAATGAAAGAAACACGTCACTATTGAAGTTAGCAAACGTGTCCTCGCCGACAACTGTATTGTTTCTCACCGCCAACAAGCACTTTCAAGCGTTTTTTCCGCCAAATGCACCCATTATTTTTACATGTGTTTTTTTGGTATTGGTTAACAGAGGCTTGGATATGCAGATAATATGTGGTGCATACGACATCTTTCGGTATTAAATCAGTAAATGAATACAGGTGGTGCCAATGTCCCGTCAGTCGGGCGTACTAGAATGGTGTGTGGGGACCACACCCATCGGCGCTTACTTGGTGGGGCCGGCCAACAGCGGGGCGCATGCGCGATACCGACCTCAGGTAATGCTTTATCAGCAAGTCATTAAGTTTCCACTGCTGAACATAGGCCTCCCCCAATGACTTCTACATCTCACGGTTGGTAGCGGCCTGCATCCAGCGCCTTCCTGCTTCCTTTATCAGGTCGTCCGTCCTTGTGGGTGGACGTCTCACGCTGCGTTTTCCGTTACGCGGCTTCCATTCCAGAACCTTGCCGCCCCGACGGCCGTCAGTTCTGTGTACTATGTGCCCTGCCCACTGCCACTTCAGCTTGCTAATCCGTCGGGCTATGTCAGCGACTTTAGTTCGTTTACGGATCTCCTCATTTCTGATTCGATCTCGTAAAGAAACACCGAACATAGCCCTCTCCATAGCACGCTGTGCAACTTTGAGCTTCTGTTTAAGGCCTATAGTGAGAGGCCACGTTTTTGAGCCATAAGTCATCACAGGTAATAGCCGCTTATCGCGGCGCGCATCATAGGCCTACAGATATTCGCATATTTTTCCCTTAGTCGCCTTCTACGACAGTCACGAGAAGCGAGAGTTGGTCCTATTCTACTCTTACTCTAATCTAACAACGTATTGTTTTTCCTCTTCTTCTTTTACTTAATGAATTTTAGAAGCAATCTAATTATTTTATTTTGGATTAACTATATTCAATAATTAATCCAAAATATTGAATACGCTGCAGAGTAAGGGCCCGTTTATATGGGATGCTGAGAGGCCGCGCGGCGGCCGGGCGATAGCTTTATGTGGTACGCCAAAATGCCGCGTAGCAGCCGCGCGGCGGCCGCGTGAAAGTTTTTGCGTCGTCTAACTGCAGCCTAAGTTTGGTTCCTTCCACTTAGCCATTGTGTACAGTCGACTAACCTTTTAATAATAAACGTTTACTTCTAGGATATATCATGCGCTGTAGCACGCGCGATGCTAAACAAATGCCACGAACAAAGAAAGAGTCCACGAGAAAAATTAGCGGTCTTTTTAAATGTACTGAAACAATTCAGGCCGGTGTTCCACTACTTCTTTACTGAACACTACCTTGACCCCGTGACGTGGTACGAACGCCGATTGGCCTACACGAAAAGGTACGTAACCTCTGACACATACATATCGTTCGTTCGTTCGTTTCAGCCAAATGACGTCCACTGCTGGACAAAGGACTCCTCCAAGATTTTCCACAATGCACGGTCCTGCGCTGCCCGCATCCAGGCTCTTCCCGCGACCTTTACCAGATCGTCGGTCCACCTAGTAGGAGGCCTGCCCACGCTACGTCTTCCAGCCCGTGGTCGCCACTCAAGAACTTTTCTGCCCCAACGGCCATCGTCTCTACGAGCTATGTGCCCCGCCCACTGCCACTTGATTTTAGCAATTCTGCGAGCTATGTCGGTCACTTTGGTTTTCCTGCGGATCTCCTCATTTCTGATTCGATCACGCAGCTTAGGGAAACTCCAAGCATGGTCCGCTCCATCGCCCTTTGGGTGACCTTGAGCCTTCTTATGAGGCCTATAGTAAGCGACCATATTTTATATTGTTTTTGTATAAAAAGATCATTTTTTTAAAGTTTTCTGTCATTTTAGTGTCGCGACATCTTCAATGGTGGGATACATTTTGGGTTTAGGAGACAGACATGTTCAAAATATCTTAATAGACACAAATACAGCTGAAGTGGTTCATATAGACTTTGGTAAGTTTTTTTTGCGTCTAAAAAGTGAAATAAGACCAAATATGAGCCTTATGTGAGTGGTTACTAATTTGTTCGCTTCTAGGTATTGCATTCGACCAAGGGAAAGCCTTGCCTACGCCTGAAACGATCCCATTCCGTTTGACTCAAGACATAATAGCTGGATTCGGATCCAGCGGCGTGGAAGGAATATTTAGGAGGTAAGGTGGATTGAAATAGTACATCGAGATGTGAACGATTAATTTCAAAAGCCTTCAAATTTGATATAACAGCACCTAAATGCACCAAACTCGGGGTAGTGAGTCTCTTTAAACCGTCTTTTCTATTTAGATAAGAGATAAGTAGATTAGTCAGAATCTGTTCATCTATATCAGCAACTTCTTAATAAATAGTCCTGCTAACCCCTTGTGCTAATCCAAATATGTTTGTGTTACAACGAATCAGCGATTCTCGGATCTCGATTAGGCCAGTCCGACACCGACACCGTTTGCCTATTGTCGTCCATATATCCGTTGATTATAACAAAAGGCCTTGTTCAGATACGAGCGGTTTGTGGGTGGCTGGGTGGTTCTCATTGGCGAGGCACTGAGGCGGTAACCGTGCCGTTACGCTTACGGTTCGATGCAAACTATCCGGAAACTGCTCGGCAACCGCGCGTATTCCGCAGTGTCTGAACTAGGCCTAATAAACTGATAAAGTTTAACCTTTACCTCTCAACCTTTCGTTCAGGTCTTGCGAGAAGACGATGCAGCTGCTCCGCGACAACCAGGAGACGCTGCTGACGCTACTTGAAGTACTGCTGTGGGACCCGCTGTACTCCTGGACCGTTGTGCCTAATGCGCACGCTACCGGCTCCAGAGACACTAGCGTTTGTAAGTAAAGTCGATAAATTATTTAACGGGCACACACTGAATCACCGTTACTAATATCACAAATAACAACCACTACTTTTATTTTATTTCTGAATTTCGTAAAACACAATATAAAACGCATTAATTTACTCCCTAAATACGTTATGCCACTGAAGAACTTGTAGAAATATAACAGTCACTTCTGTTAAAATAATGCAGGTAGAAAAAAAACGTGCACTTACTTCTGAAACATTTTAGTCTATGATATTTTTTCTAAGATTCGTTCTCCTTTAATAAAATATTTCAATAATACCTACATATTTGACTTTTTCAAAATGAATTTAGATTCCATTATAGGTATGTCTTTCTTTACAACTGTATACAGAAGTCGCGCAGAATATGGTTAACTTAAATCAACCTCTATTTGCAGGTGGCAGTTCAAACAGCGGCTTAGCTGAGCGGGCGCTGTTAGCTGTGAGCAGCAAACTCAGCGGGACCGAGGGCGGCGTCGCTGGCGGTGTAGCAGTGGCAGGACAAGTGGCGCGCCTTATTCAGACAGCCACCGACCCCGCCAACCTCTGCCGCCTCTTCCCAGGGTGGCAACCCTATTTGTGATATGCTAAAAGCTATAGATTAAGTGCCATTTCCAATTATTGTGAATGTATCGTGATTCAATTACTTGTTTTTTGTTATTTATGAATGGACAGTTAAACTGTTAGTTTTGTAATGATGTTAATAAATGCCATTATTTCAATAAAAGCGATTATTTATTTTAGTTTTCGACTAATGATACTGATAGATCGTTTAAACACCTATTGGGAACCTTGCACTGACCGTGCGTATAACCAAGGCTTGGTAATTTATTATTAGCTTTGTTCATGCTGTTTTTTTTAGGTAACCTATGCCATTGATTGTTGTAAACAACCACAAATAAGAGTAACAATAGAAAGGGCGAGTTCCCGCGAGCTTGAGCTCAAATAACGTTGTCCTAATGCCGTTAACTTCGTTATCGATTTTTCGTCAGACTTGCGGCGTTGCCATGGTTACAAATCTGTCAACATGACAGATGATTTCAACAAACCGAACTCAAATCCTATTTTTTGTGAATGAAATAGGAATATTATTAGTTAGATAAAATTAGAATAGTTAAAACAGAAAGTTACGCATTATCTCATGGCAGAATTGCATATTCTGGGGCAATTGCAGAGTGTATCGAATTTCCAAGATTCGTCATCTCTATTTTGTCGATATTCCTTCCAAGCAGGTGAGTGTTGTTGAACCTAAATGCTCATTTTTATGTAATCAAAAAATACCTATTTTATTATTGTTTTGTCTTGTAGGACCTAACTGGACTGTAATATCTGGATACCCAGAAGGACAGACAGTCTCAGGCAAACTAGATCATGCAAAGTCTGTCATTTGGTCTCACCCACTAGATATTCACTACATCACAAAAGGAATTCAAGGTTAGTGTTTCTTTTATTTCACTTTATTATATGGACACTAGAATAATTGACGTTAAATATATTTATACTTACATTGGTTCAGCATTAACAATGCTGAATGACAGCTGAATGAAGACATATTTTGTTTTTAATTCAGGTTGGCCAAAGTTAGTTCTGCAAGTTAGTTGTCTTGACTCCATCGGAAGAGCCTGGGTCGTTGGTTATGCTTGCTGCAGCTTACCCGTAGTGCCTGGACATCATGTATTAGACGTGCCCTGCTGGTTACCTATAGCTACTACAATTCGAGATCGTGTTCGAGAATACTTCCTTGGAGGATCCCATCAACTTCTTCAAACTGATATTGTTAATTTAGGAACAGATAGGTAATTGTTTAACTAATCTTTTAATAGATAATTAATTGTACATTTAATGAATTTCTAATTATTTTCTCATTCACAGGTTCAAACTGAAAACTCAGTCCAAAGGTGTAGTTAATTTGAAAATAGATTTAGTGTTAAGAAATTTCACACAATTTGGAGTAGAATATAAGTAACAATGAAAGTGTTTGCATATCTTGCATTTACTTTGCTTTCCATAGTTATACAATTTTGTGTAATGGATTTAACCCATGATAAAATTGGATTCGATGATGAACAAACTGATTTCAACATTACTAGTCAGAAAAAGAAATTTCAAGAATTGATGAATGATTTTACCCAAAAGCCCCATGCTTTATATTACCGAACACACTTAAATGATCAGCGAAAGGAATTAAACTTTATGCCTTCTACTAAAACTTATTCAAATACTTCTATGCAAAGAATAGAAATATCCACTATAATTTCCAGTACTATACTAGACGAATTGTATGACGAAAATGTATCTACCACAGAAGACACATTTACAACTGAATCATTGTACACAAGTACTGAAATAGATAATGTCACTGAAATAAGCTTTTTTGAGAATAAGAATCAATCAGTAGTGAAACCAACGATTCCTAAGAAATCTATAAACAAAGATTGTGGGTGTAACTTATTGGTGAGAGTTATAATTTTTTATCATAATCAATTGTAATAATAACAATGTATGTTCATAAAATAACAAGTATTATTCTATTCCAGTACAATGTGTGTGATATTAACTGCTGCTGTGATAATGATTGTTCTGAGGCTGAAAAAAATATATTTGTAAACTGTAAAAATACTCTTAAGAGAAATGACCTGAATCTCCATTCATGTTACCCTTATGAATTTTTCTCATACCAAGAGAGCAGTCTAGTAGAGAATTTATTCTGTATTGTTAAAACTAACTTACCTGAAAAACGTAACAAGGACTTAAAAAAGGTATTTTCTTGTTTAACATAATAATTAAACATTAATGTTAGGAAAATTTCAAATATTTACATTTTATTCCAGTTTGACAGTGATGCAGTTGCTCACTCATATAAGTGGCACAGTGGGGTATATTCAAAACATACAGAGTTCCAAAAAAAGCCATATGTGTATGGTGAACCTGTGTGGGTATTAAAAGATGGGTCTATTTGGTATATTGGTAATGAATACTTCTAAATTGAGTGACTGTTAATTAATTTTCCTAAATAATGTTACTAATATTATGGCATTCTTTACAGATACACCATCTACAACTATAAATAATTACTGCACTGGTAGAAAGCCTATATTATTTTTGAAAAATGAAAAAATTAAGTGCATTGTCAATTTGAAAGATTTAGAAATGTTTAAAATTCTTAAAACACCACAAGAAGCACCCTGTATAAGTGTGACTGAAAAATCCATGAACACCACTGCTTTGGTAAGCTGCGCAAAATGCGCTTGACAACAATTTCAAAATTAAATAAATACATATAATTGTTTTATATTTTCCAGAACTGTTCGACTTTACATTGCACCAATTGGACAATCACTGTTTGTAAAGGTATTGAGTGTGTTGATTATAATAAGAGCTTACACGACCCTACTTGCACAGAAACCTCCTGCACAAATCTTGCGCTGAAGTTGGAATATGTATTCTATTACCATGATTCTAAGATCATAAATGCAACTATAAAATTATTCACTCAAAATATATCATTGGATGTCCCATACATGACACAACAAATAAATGTAAGATTTATAATATCAAATGTATCAATGGAGAAAATAATTGAGATAAGTGGGAACCCTGGTTATATTCATGGTCACCCTGTTATATCATCGTCTGCAGAAGCTAACAGATCATTGAACTTTTTCAATATCACATCTCCAGACAGAAAATATCTGGTGCAGTCCAGTAATAAAGATGGAGTTTGTATGTTGTCCAATACAGAGAATAATTATATTATGTTTGGATTAAACAAAAGAATAAAGTGTCGGTATATTTATAACAAAGGTATTGGATCGCAAAATGGTACGAACCTTTGCAATGACATTGAGAGTCATATGGAACAGGAGTTTGGATTAAATAACAAATTATTTGTTTCACCCCTTGGGAACCCTTTAGACATCAAAGACAGTGATTGGGTCCCCATCCAGAATAATCTCGATAAGAAAGAAATAACATATGGACAGTTTGTGACAAAGAATTCTAAGCTTCGTTGTTACAATGTGATCACTAGAATCTCATATATTTTTACTTACGCCGATGTGAGTTTGGTAACAACTAAAAGGGAAAATAAAATAATATCTGTCAACATTAACGTTACAACCCAAAACGTAACGTTTACTTTCGATGATATATCGACAGTGATAACAATCGATATCAATTTCATCGATGGAACCAAACCTCGAGTCTACGAGTACGCAGCTGGTCCTCACCTTGATATTCATTTGCCTAAAGACTTCTTTTTCCCTTTTCCATCAAATGGATTCCATGTGACAAAACAATGTTCGAACCTCATATTGATGTGTTATATTGTGTTGTTTCAAATAAAATAAACTTGCTGGTAATAACTAATAATTTTTATTTTGAAATAATTTAAATACTTTTGTTACTCTATCACTTCTAACTTGGCATCCACCCTTCAAGGACTTATCTTGAGTTTGATGGCCTGAAAATAAAACCCATCGTCAGGTATCGCACAGGCCGCCAAGTCAACGAGGCACATTTCACGTAGGATATTAAAAAAAAAGAAATTTATAGAAAAGAAGTTTTTAATATAAGCTGATGAAAATGTAACACTGTCTTACTCGGTACATTACACAGTTTCAAACTAAATCTACCGCTATTTACAATATTTTTACATCGAAGTTAAAATCAATCTGTACTTTGTGTAATGTTTTCGTAAAACATAATAATAATATTCGACCGGTCGAGACGAGACAAGCGGGGGGGATACAGGGGAGGGGTGTCGCTACGAACCTATGCGACGTAGGTGTAGACTTTGCGGTCGTCGGGCGTGCGCGCCAGGTACTCGCGCTCGATGAGGCCCTCGATGCGCTTCTTGATGACGACGGGCGACGGCAGGAAGCGCGCGCGCAGCTGCTCCGTCACCTCCGTCACCAGCAGCGTGTGCTGCCGACACAACGCCGTTAAGCTAAGCGTCCGCTTGTCGGTATCGTACGCAACGGACGCATCGTACGAAACACATCGTATCGGATGTGCGATGCGTACGATGCGGACAGGTGGACGCACTTATACGAGTTTCCATATAAATAATACTACGATCCGTTGCGTGCGATACGTCCGATGCGTACGATACCGACTTGTGGACGCTAGCCTTTATAGAGAGCTCACATAAACCTCAGGGCCTAACGATTTAGCTTGACATCTACCACGATAGTTTTCAATATGACAAGCAGTGATTTGTAATGATGATCTATGAGATAAGACAAATCTACATTATTATCATAACTGATTGAGATAGATCCTGAGACAGACAATGACGAAACCGATTCTATATCTGTATGGATTGAGAAAGATTTTAAATGTAAGAAAGATTATAAAATTAAGGCTATAATAAAATTTCGGCAATAATATCCGGACGTGGTGGTCTTTCGGATAAAATTGAGCAACTGTAATTGTAGCGCTTCACATAGTCAGTGACTAATACCCCACACAAGTGAAGCAGCAAATCGAACGCACAGCGTAGAATAGGAGTTCTGTGATTGGTCCGTGTCACCCTGTGCGTCCACGCGCACTAGGAGACCTCACAGTAATGTTTGAATACGGGCGTAAGGTACGAGAGCGGCACGGGCGGGTGTTTTTTGTTACGTCAAATGTCAGCGAGACTTCAGATATAGTTCCAAAATACTGCCCCCTTAGACAAAACGCACTTTTTGATCGAATCGAAAATCGAATCCGTCAAAACTCCATACAAAAAAGGGGCTTTTCGACCACTTTTCGACTGGTTTGCGATTATAATTTGCACTTTGTCTAGACCCACTGGACTGTCCTGTCGATGACATTGACAGTGGGGCGCCACCGTCAATATAGGATCGCTGGTTCAGATTTTTGCCATGTTGGAAACCATATAGTTGAACGATGGTAGCGCCCCCCTGTCATTGAGTTTGGTGGGACAGTTCAGCGTGGGTCATCTATATGTATGCCTCTGTCACGTCATAATATGTCAAAATATTGCCGTGCCGCTTCTATACCTCAGGCGTTCTCACAGTTAAGCGCTAGAGCTATAATGATTAGGACGACGCTCACCTGCATCTTCTTGCGCGCCTTCATGATGCGCACGATGGCGGCCTCGATCTCGTGCTTGCGGTCCTCGTCCACCTTGTTGCGCGTCTCGCGCCGTTCCGGCTCCGACTCGCCCTTGGCTGCCACCGTCTGGATCTTTACTCTAAATTCGTGGAGAAATGGACAAGTTTTATTACATACTTAAACACATTAATTAACACATACTTAGACATAGGACGGGTTAACTTGTGCCTAACCTTTGTGCTCATTTTTATTGGTCAAAACAAAGCAACCCCCCCCCCACCACGGTCGAAATAATTCAAATCAGAATTCGATTTAAATAAAATTAATGGTTATAAATGGATTGCTAATTATTTTAAAAACATCTCTAGCTTCTCTTCTTTCCAATGATATATCACATGTAGTAATTCGAAAACCTCGCATTGTTTTTTTTTTTTATGCATAACAAGGCAGGTATTTTACCACAATCGCACCTGATGTTAAGTGGGATGCAGTCTTGGCTAAAATGCTTTTCCGGAAAGGGACAATAAATCACAACAACGTTAATTTTAGAGTCAACTTTATGAATTTAAATAATGCACCAAATTGTAAGCCATTTGCTATAAAAAGCATTAATGATATAGTTCTAGCGCGTAACTCAGTCAGTGCCTGAGGTACGGGAGCGGCACGAAAGAGGTGACATTGACATAATTATGACGTGACGTCTCAAAAACGCCTTCCCGTGCCGCTTCCATGTCTCAGACACTAAGTTAACCGCTGGACCTCTAAATAGAGGTCTTTGTTGTCGGTTTATCCCTAATGCTTCAACCACACCAACGCGATCATAGGCCAATGACAGGTCGCGCGGACTGTCATGGGTCGCGCGACCTGTCATTGGCCTATGGTAGCGCCAGCGATGGCGATCTGCATGCGTTGGTGTGGTTGAAGCTTAAGGCTCAGAACAAACGGCGAAACGCAACTGCAACTGCTAGTTACTTTTGAGTTGCATCTAAGTTTCTGCCATAGCGTCCGTTGAGAGACCACACATGACGCGACCAGTTTGAAACTTTCAGTTTCAGTTTCATTCATCAGAATCATCACAAAGTTGCAGTTTCGTTTCACCGTCTGTTCTGGACCTAAGTGAAATTAAAGATTGTATAGTAAACGTCAAACCTCGTTCCACTGCGCCACAAACCTGTGCAACTTGGACGTGAAGGCGTCGTTGACGTAGAACTGGTGCGAGGGCTCGATCTCCTTGTTCTTGGGGTGCTTGATGAGCACGCGCTGCGTGGCCTTGCCCATGGCTAGCGACTGCAAAGCGCGGATCAGGTCCTTCTCCGGGATATCAGTCTCGTTGAGTATTTCCTGGAACGTAAGGCTTGGTGGAGCAAATGACGAAGGTGAAGCCGTAAGCCGTTTGTGTACAGCCTAGATGTTATGAGGTTGGGATAAAAGACAATACAAGTTGAATTCATCAAGTGTGTATAGTTGGCAAAATCATACTACTTTACTCTAGCTAGAAGACTAAGAATATTTAAAGGAGAATATAGTTATGTCTGGGTAACGGGCCAAGTTCTGAAAGAGTAACGACATTAAATCAACAAGTCTCAAAATAAAAACATCAACTTAGGCTCTACAGCAATTAGCTGACGGAAGGTAAAGAGGGGACGCCAGGGGACTCTGACAAACAAGTGTGTACTGTGTAGCACAGGTTTATAAGGTTTTTGAATGAGATAGATTAAAAATTGAATCTGCAGCTGTGATAAAAAGAACATGCTGTGATAGAAGAATAATAAATAAATAAATAATAATAAATATCCTAAGACATTTTACACTGCGCTTCTAGTCCCAAACTACTTACAAATGTATTACTTGGACGCAAAAAGTGTTATGCTCGTTTTCACCATAAATCCCTAATTTTTAGTGACCCCTACTTACTACTTTACCTGGCCCATTCCCATTTTATTTGGGGTCGGCCCTCCGCGTCAAGTTTAAGTGACCCCAATGGAAACAAAATTCCTGTTATGTGTTACCATAGCTGTAACTTAAAAATTAGGGATTGATGGTGAAAACGGGTATTAAGTATTTTTAAACTTAAAAAGGTATTTATAGTTCCTAATCTGTTTATTGGTTATTATTCTGCTATCTTGGCATGGCTTTTGTAGGTATTTGTATTGTTTTAACGTTTTTCATATATCGTATGTTACTGTTAATACTAATAATACTGGATTGTATTTTCTTCTTCTTGTCGTGTCGACAACAAACCTACACAGTGTCAGCCCAAAACTCCGCCACAAGAGTGGCGTTGTCAGTAGCACTCATCAAATCCTCCTGAGTGCAGTTGCTTGGGCACTCAGGGCATTGTATTTTGATATGCTATTTGTGAAAACTATGTAAGGCATTTTTGAAATTAACCGCTTCATCTATTAATATTAAATATATGCTGTTTGTTTTCTATAAAATAAATAAGTAATAAAAGCTTAAAGCACCCACCTCATAAGTCAACCGCTCCCTCTTGTTGAACAACAGCAGCACGCACATCTGGAAGGTGGACACCTGTATGATGTGTTTCCGCGGCGCGTGCGCGGCCGCCGCGGGGGGCGAGGGCGCGCGCGGGGGCGAGCCGCCGGCCGCGCGGAACGTCGCGTGCAGGTCCGCGCTGCCTAGCTGAGGCTGGAGGGACAGCTGCCGGCCTGAGTGCTTGGCTAGGTAGAAACTGCAGGAAAGAAAGAAACAAACCTTTAGGTCTATAATTATTTCACCGGGACACCATGGCGGCACATCCAGTCATCATCATCATCATCATTTCAGCCATAGGACGTCCACTGCTGAACATAGGCCTCCCCTAATGCTTTCCACGTTGAGCGATTGGTAGCAGCCTGCATCCAGCGCTTCCCTGCTACCTTTACGATGTCGTCAGTCCACCTTGTAGGTGGACGTCACACGCTGCGTTTTCCGGTACGCGGCCTCCATTCCAGAACCTTGCTGCCCCATCGGCCGTCAGTTCTGCGTACTATATGCCCTGCCCATTGCCACGTCAGCTTGCTAATCCGTCGGGCTATGTCAGCAACTTTAGTTCGTTTACGGATTTCCTCATTTCTGATTCGATCTCGCAAAGAAACACTAAGCATAACCCTCTCCATAGCACGCTGTGCGACTTTGAGCTTCTGTATAAGGCCTATAGTGAGAGGCCACGTTTCCGAGCCATAAGCATCCAGCACCAACAACATTTTGTTGGTAGCGGCGACAGGTTGCGCCGCCATGGTGTCCCAGTGAAATATAGCCTTTAGGGCAGTGGTTCCCTAAGTTGTCTGGGCTACGACTC